TCCTATTATCTCTATAAAAACAAAGCAATATGTAATATGTGTTGCCTATATACCAATAACTAAGCAGTTACAAACTACTCATAAACAAGTATTCAAAAGCTTTATTTAAAAACACACAAGAAAAGGCTGGTTTTCGAGTTGTTAAGTTTATATTATATTAATGACAGATTTTTAGTATTTAAATGAAAGTTTACATAATAAGGAAGAAATAATAAATAAAAAATATGGATAAAAAGCAGTCTCATTATATTTTACGTTAGAAATACGATTTTAATCTTTACATTTTTGGTCTATCTCAATAACAGTTGACGATATATTATTATCTGTATATTGAAATTAAGGTTAATACTGTACCGAATAAATATACTAAGTATAATGACGAATACTGAGTCTGAAAACATTGATAGTTAGAAAGAAATGCTTAATGAAATTTGTTTCAAAACGTGGCCAAAAGTTTAACTAGAAGTATAAAATAACATCAAAGAAATTAAAAATAAATTATTCAGATGTATCAATTAATAAGTTTCTAAAATCTAGATGAAGAAATGTATTTAATGTAGAATATGATGGGTTTTCAGTGAGATATTTAATCTTATTAGCATCGAAGACAAAGGAAGTGAATATGAAATTAAAGAAAGATGTTAATAAACAAAGATTTTAAAAGGTGCTAAAATGACATTGAAAAAGTTTAGTGAAAATAATTTTGATTTAGCAAGTGATATTGTTGAGTCATTATTTAAAATATATAGCTTTTCAAAATTGTAGCCATTGTATTTTTACTTTTGAAAATGAAGTTGCGCTTAATGAAGTAGTTTTGTAGAAAGTATCCAATTCGTTAATAGTTATGCAATGCGACGTTCATATTAGCATCCACGTGTGATTTACACGATTGAGAATCAGTAATTGTTAATTAGTACGTGTGGGAATTGTTTCTTCGCATTGACATTGAATGGGAAACGGTTACGCAACTTTTATCGGAAACGATATGTGTGCCATATGTTCCGTGTTTGTTATTATGCACTGTTGGATTTGTTAATTGGAATGTATTATGTCTCTTAAATATGTTTACGCGTTCTTTAATGAGCAAAAGTCGCGCGCTATTAATAAAACGGCTATCGGTCGTCCAATCATTTAGCGGAATTGTGCCTTTTCTCTCCTCTATCGACGAATATAAACTGCACATTCTCAGCTTCAGCTGATTTACCACTTACCAGAAAATCCTATTTATAATTGCATTCATACATTAATAATAATAATTCTTCTAATTTGCTTGATAATTTGAAATGATATTATGTGTTTAAAACGGATAAATTGAGAAACTTATGTATAAAGTGAAAAAACTGATCATAATTTTTTGTACTATTTTTTAATATTTATTTTTCGCAATTTGGCTAATGAAGCTAAAAGTGACATCTTTCAAGATATTGTCAATTGAAAGATGTAAATTGAAATAAAATTTGTTGGAAAGACTAATTCTTTTTTGTTTATGATTATACAAATCCGTTTTGTTTTTTGTTTATGTATCTTTAACTGTTTCAATAAACATTATTATTATTTAAAAAGAAAGAATATACTCTGTGAAAAAAAGCTATTCTATGAATAACTCTATACAATAATACATATATAAAGTGTACATTAATATAATATTTTACGCTTATAATTTATCAACTGATCAACTTGTTAATTACTTGAAAAGTTTTATTTCCAACGACAGGAATACATTTGTGAACCAGAATTCACATGAATTATTTACCCGGTTGCAGTCGTCTGGTTTCCATTCGACTTTCGTCTTTGTTTCTGGTGACAATTCAGTGTTTTTTATTTGTTGTTCCTGCTTCTGTAGTTGAATGCATCCAGTAAATATGTGCATAGATTTGCAAGTTCTGAATCTAACGTGTAAATGCGTGACAGTATTAGCATAGATATTGTATATGTTTGTCGTGTCGTTTTTAAAATTTTAAATAATCAATGGTCTCCGATGTTTTGGAGTGAAAATAGAGGAAGCTGTGATATCTCAACCACATCCTGTCTCGTTATTATTGTCCGCTCTTATGCTCTGCTGTATATTTACTGCGCTTTATTTTCTACATTTGTTCGTGTATCCGTTATTTGCGATTTGTATCCTCTTTTGAATACTGATCCCATTCATTTGTTTAATAATTGCTAGAGGATGTTTTTCAACAGATCAACATGTTAAAAAAGTTTTATAATTAGAAAATAATGATAATCATATATTGAATCTCAGATATACGAATCATTAAAATATACAGAGGAACCACGCTTAACGAGCATAATCCATTCCAAAATACTAATCCAATACATTTGTGTTTTGCATTTACAGCAAACACAAATTATATTTGCAAAGTATAATCTCTATAAAGAATGATGAAAAAGAAAATCGAAGATGGTTAATATATTAACTCGTTATGCGAAACGTTTCTCGTTAAGCGAGTAATTTTTCTTACAATTAATTTTGCTCGTTATGCGAGGTGCTCGTTAAGCAAGGTTCCACTGTATTTTGTTTAGAAGATCATTTCGTAAAATACAGCAATAGCATAATTGGTTCCGTTATTGTGGGATATTAAAAACCGTACTAATCGAGAAAATAAATACATATACCACACAAAAGGAGACTCGACTGTATAAACGAAAGAAATAAAGATGTATAAAAAAATATTTTGCTCAATTAATATACTGAATCTGGACTGATAGAATAATAATTAATTCAATTGAACTCAAGTATTTATAGAGTAATATAATGATTACATAATATAAATAATCCATTTATCCAGATTATAAATTGTATAAAATATAATGATCTTAAAATAATATACCATGTTGATCTTAACTTACCTGAAATACTTGATAAAATTATTGAAAAATATAATATTTACTATAAATTATTTTTTCAAAGATTTTCTAATATATGTTTAGTATTCCTCAAAAGTAGCTGGATATATAAAAACAGCATTATTTGTATGTATGATTTAATCTCATAATATAAGCTTATTTTTGGACGATATGATCGACGCGTTCCTGTTTACTCTGATGCAATTAAAACCTATTATTATTGGGGCCGGCCGTTTTTTAAAAGAGGAAGCACCATTTGAAAATGCCAGGAAGTCGGTTATTCCGGCATGGATGTTGCCCTCTAATTCGCTCGTAATTCGTTGCACGACCCGTTTACACATACGATTTCCTAAATACTATGATTACTTACACTTCACATATGATAACTCGCACATAACATCAATTGAGTTCACAAATTAAATTAACTTAAATTAATTTTTCTTGTCATTTCTAAAGTCCAATAAAAAATACATAATGTAGTTTTGAGTACATTAAGTATTAAATCTTCAACAGCTATTTAAAATTGTTTTTTTACTGCTTAGATGGGTGATTAATTAATTTACTAAATTGTGATAAATACTAAAGATTACAAATTTTATTAATAATCATTTAACATTTATTATTGAAAAAAATGGTGGATGGTAAATAGAAAATTCATAATATTCAAATAAATTGGATTTGAAAGAAAACACAAGAAAATCTATCGATTCATTTATTTATATATTCAAAATTAGCTCTCTGCTCTATTGCAACATCCATATAAACTATACAATTCCTTTTTATTTCCATACATATATTTTTGGTTTTAATATATAATATTATATTATTGATATATATTTATGTATAACATCAACGCCGTTCGACTATCTATAATTGTATTTAATTCCATCGCATTGTCATAGAATTTGTTCGAAACGAAATGCTCAATACATTAAAACCATAGCAATTACAAGAATAAGCTAATCATTCTATACATTCACTTACAAATCATAGTTATAAATATTTACAATATAGATATTAGAATGAATCAATACATGATTGGTCGCCAAAGGATCGATTATGGGCAGTTCAGTACTTTGGATTTTGAGGCCCCGGGTATAATATGGAGTGGGGCCTCAGTAAATAATGGTGAAAAGATACTTATTTTTAAACTTTACTGACGTAAAAACTAGCCTACAAAATAAAGATAACGATTAATTTATGCTGCAAGTAAGTAAATTAGCCGTATATTTTTTGTTTCTCCTATTATAATTATGTAATAGATAAATAGAGGGGTGTTACAAAGTCATGAAACTCTTGAATGGAATGACGGTGAAAGATGTTTGGCGACACCTTATTTTAGGAGTTTATTACATACGCAATTGTTTGAAAATAGGAAATGAAAGTGTTGAAACTAGATAAACTTAATTAATATAAAATATAGATTTTTTTTGATATACATATTTTAATTCGTCGTAATTTGTATTGTTTTTAAAAGTTAATATTATAAGCCGTGTTTTTATTTAAGTAATGATAATTCTTAAATTCGTTTTTGTTAATATCTACGTTTTCATTCCTTCTATTGCCTATTTTTATTTATATTTATATATATATATAGATATAATATTATATATGCGGTGTCACAAATTAATAGTTGAATAGGTACCTTATATAATGCAGCCACAAAGCGATAAAAATCAAATTAATAATGAATTAAAGCCATATTAATGCGAGCATATGTAAAATCATGCATGCATATGCACGTAAAATCAATTGATCAAAGAGAGATGAAGGTGCGTATGCCACGGGCACTCATAATTAATAGACGCACACATTACATTTGATGGTCCATTGTTGCTTCCATACTTCCAACAAATAATGCTCCCCATTGTGGCTTTTCCATCCCTGCGGCTGTAATCTAGTCAGGCAATGATCATTTAAAGCTATATCAGTTCGAGTCCCAAATTAATACTATATGTATTATTAAATCATTAAGGACGATGAATCTAATAGTAAATATTTACGATCATTAATAACCTAATTATTTTACTAAAGGCGATCGACGAGGCTATGACTTGTCACTTGTTAGTAGTGCCAAAATATTCTTCTTTTTACTATTTGATGCAGGTTGAGTCATTTTCTGAACGTGGAAATTAGAAACGTAAGTGTTTTTACACTGATTCATTAGATTAATAATTAAAGATAAGTAACTAAAACCTTGGTTTTCTCAGTTATGAATTAACGGTTACGCAATTATTTGACTAGAGATCGATGTGGTAATGACATATCATTTTTTTAAACTGTCAAAGATTAATCTTCTGCTGCTGCTTGTTTTGTTTGCTTGAAGAAGGAAATTACAAACAGTAAGAATTGTTGATATTTTCTTAAACGTTTGTACTATTATGACTAGTTTCTATACGCTAATCGCCGTAACGTAATCAATAATTGCCATTGTTTGGTCCCCTGATTAGTCTGAGTAATCTGACTAGAAGCTCCAGCACGACTATCAAAACCACGGTAATAAGAAGCGTCAGCATTGTCGCAGCGAAGCGAAAACCTATTCGGCTTCCGGTTATATAACGCGCACAACAAAATTATATGCAAGTCTACGATCTTAACAATCTTACAACACATATTAAATCACTATTGGTGTTCGATTCAGAATATACAAATATCCTGGTATTTGATTGTTTGTTTAATATGTACAAAGCCATCTACTGCGGTCCTTATTCTTTTTTTTTGGCACTTTGTTTTAAATGACAGAAAGCTAGCGTTTGCAGTTCAATGACACTGATTTCTTTTTGTTCTTTGTTTTCAGACATGTCCGTTAGTTTCGAGACGTAGGGCTGCTTCGTACGAGGGTAGACCAGAATCGTCAGCTGGACGTATTCGCGCTGGGCTCACGATGTTCTTGTGCACAGGCACGACGGCTTCGTAAGCTGGTGGTGGTCCTGGTGTAGGAGGAGCTTGTATATCAGACAGCACGAATTCTTCGGATTCAAAGCACTGAAATAACAGCAAAAACAAACATAAAAGTAGGTAAGTTCATCATTTGTGATATGTAATTTATGTAGTTAGAAGATATGATAATTATCGTTACCTCTTATTTGTGTTTATGACTAGTTTAGCTTATTTTACAAAATACTTGATAAGTGCTGTTATAAGTGTCTCATAGTGAGTAAATGACTTTAACTACAATTACAGATCGAGATCCACTGACTAATAAAAATAGTAACTATTTAAGAAAGTTGACTTTACACTAAAGTATTATAATAAGTATATGAAAACTCTTTAAGGAAATATTATGTGCTAGGGTGATTTGTTTTTGATTGTTTTTATATATATATATATTTGTTAAAAGTTTTCTGTTGGTACTGGCTCATTTAATATGATTTTAAAACGAAAAGCGCTCAAGTACCGAATTAAAGCATTTTTTTAAATACACCTCCCATTTAATGCGGCACTCTCTAAACAGCAGCAAAAATAACGAGGGATGGGTCGAAAAAGGGTGGATGTTGAAAGAAGAAAAATAAATAACCTTGTTAAAGTGAGAGCGAAAGAGGAATATAATTCATTTCCAGGAGCGTTCATTAACTCGGGCGCGTTTATTCTCATTTGCAATGATAATTGTGACCGGGTAAAAGATGTTTAATGCGCTCCTCGCTTCTCGCAACATCAAATCCTGTTTCATAAAGAATCCCTTCGAATACAAGGAATAAAGGAAATACGAGAAGTTGTATAATGAAACACACTCAATGAGAAAAGATTTTTTTGTATACTATTTATTGAATGTGAATGCGTTTATTAAAAACAAATATACGTCACCTTACTGATCGCCAATAGCGTTAAGTTACTAAGATTATTCCACAAAGTGTTAAAAGAATTAGAATTTCATAGGTGTATATTTTTATCAAAGATACGAAAAAATGGATATGAATGGAATGCATACTAAAATTGCAAATACCAAGGTGTGGATTTTGTGAATACCATAAACAATATTACCAAAGCAAAATACGTAGGAAAATACTACAAATGATTCTATAAATATTTCCAAAATTTTCTTAATCAATTGAATTGAAGAAATGTATTATATGATTACATTTTTAAATTAATTATGATAGTTTGCAATAATTTGACAAAAAGTAGGATGTTTACCAGAAGCAATAATATTTCACACTATTCATATTATTTAGAATAAAACGGTCAATATAAAAATGTCATTTGGATATTTTGTTATTTTGCAATAAAAATGTATAAGTAGGAAATATAGAAGTTGGAAATGCGAAAGTAAAGTTTTTTTTACGGTCAACGGATGCATTTCCATGTTCTACAGTAAAAAGAACGTAAGACGATGAACTTACCTGTTGGTGTCCTTCAACCGTGTATACGTGTAAGGGAAGACCAGAATCTCTCCAATAGGCGGGAAGATGGGTTTCTTGTTTCCTTGCATTTTTATGGCAGCAATAGCACATTATGAATACGACCAGGATAATTCCGCTTAGCATGGCACTGCAGGACAGACAAGAAGCAGAAAACAAAGGTGGATTACATTCGAATAAAAGCGTATAAAACAAAAGAAAAAAGCAAAAAGAGGGAGAGAAAATTAAGACTAATCCGACCGATCCTGATGTCTGTTTGCACCTGATAATTTTCGCATTCACACCTACGCTTCTTTTGTGTTTTTTTTTTCGGGGATTTGATATAAAAGCGCAAACAAAGCTGTGATGAGGGAATGCAGCCGAGATTTAACATTTCAAATAAGCGATCTTCCTTTGAGGGGGAAGGGCAAATGAGGAAAGTTTCGGGCTATTAGTTGTGTGAGCGCGTCAGGTCGAAATTTAATTTAATTTATATTTTGTGTTTCGGCTTCGGTTCGTGATACAATTGAAAATCGTGGGCGAAGTTACACACAATTATACGGTTTGTGGAAGTAGATTCAGTATTCCGAGTTTAGTGTTTTGACATAACAAGAGATTTGATAGTTAAAGGATAGTTTGTAGTACTGTATTTCTTCAAAAGAAATGGTGAAATAGATTCATAGATTCACTGTTACTTGTAAACTAGTCACAGTGAATCTATACAGGAGGAGGCTTTCATTAGGAAATGTTGAAATATATTTCGTCTAACGTGTTTTATTTATTATATACACTAATAGTTTTACTACATAATTAGTATCATAATAATATCAGGATTTTTTTCAATAGTAACATTGATTTAATAAGAATAAACATAATTTATTGAATATATTACTAGTTTGTGGTATTCGATAAAACGTGAGTTTTGCATTTGAAGGATATTTGTCCTTTTTTATATAGTATAGATATAAGATATATTATGTCAGATGTTTATATTGCAACTGCCAATTTTATGTTTAGAAATAATTCTACGAATAAACACTTACATCGTATAGTATGCATAGTATATATGCATCATAATACTTTGTGATCAGGATGTGTCAGTATGGAAAATAAGTGTAAATATTTGCAATAAATTTCTTAACATTATTAATGTAAAGTTTGAAATGGTTTTTAATTTGGTTACATCCAAATGGTTTGAAATATTCGAGTGTAAGCAAATTCTAAAGAGGCTGAGATTGCAATCAGAAATATTATGTATCGATCTTTAAACTTAATGCGTTTCCGGTTTTCTCTGTTTCCTCTTTCCATATCTGACTTGCATCGACATTTTAATGCTAATTCGACGGCTGCATCTTAACTACCCTACCGCTGATAGACGGAAGAGATGAAGTTGGAAAGAGAGAGAGAGGTTGTGCAAAACGTTCCCCGTTTGGCCATAAAATTGGATTTGCCACGGCAGGAGGAAATGACATTTCTGTATCCGCAATGGGGTCGGGTAAATATAGAACCGGCAATGTAAATATAGCGAGGCCTCTCCTCTTCCTCCATCCTCCGTCTTCCTCCAAGTCCAAGCGCACTGGATTTGTATGAAATCGGTCCACTTCAATCTTTGGGGCCAGAAAGTCCAAAAGTATCGGAAGTTCTGCACGGATCGGATGTTTAATATAAACATATCGAGTTTCACGTCCTGCACGGCGCGTTTTCCTACGCGCTGAAGGATGAGAACGTGGAGGATTCGGTATCTCATTATTTTCACAGATGGATAGAGATAATGTATCTCATGCACGCTCCGTCACGACGTAGTCGTCGTCCTTCACTGGTATTTATTTCCGCGATTATTAGAAGTAAACAGCGGTATTCTGCAATAATTCAGCGATATTTGTGCATCCTATTTCTCTCTTCGAAAAAGGGACAAGAAAAAATATGAACATAATTAAAGCGCACGATTGCATTAATAACTCCGACTGCATTGCATGTTTGTTGCGAATACATTTTGCAAGTGCAGGTGCGCCTTTTTGCGCATAAATTCGTATCCAGTTCCAAATTGGAAGTAATGTTTGGGCGGAATAATATCATCCGCTCACGAAATTAAGAGCCATCCTCTCCCCATTCTGCACACGATGCACGAGAATCATATGCTTAGTTCTCATCCTCAATTTCTATTCTTTACTACTACTATATATGAGCCTATTAGCCTTTCATTTCACAAATGAAACATACATATGATCTTATGATTAAGAAGAAATATGTTGTAATCCACATAAAGTTGATATATACGTTTTCCTTGGAATAACCTACTTATGATAATATATGAAATCCATTCAATGGCTGTAATCTAACCGGCTCATCTTTTGAGGTTTTGTTTTATTAACATTTAACAAAAGATATTACATCTGCTTAAATTTAAAAATGCACTTATTTTTATAGTAACGTCAACTTCAAGTTATATATTGACAAACGTCAATTTTATTATGAATTCATGTTAAGTTTAGTAATAGGTATTTCAGTATTTCTTTAACATTACGTGACCAATTCAAATGACTGGATCTTAACATTTTGTTATAATAAACTAAATTTATTGTATACATATTATTTACCGCAGTCTTTTCGCAGTTTTTACTTTCATAATATGTTGTTTACTATATATAGTATGTTATGTCAAATCTGATACTACGCAAAAATATTACAAACTGGTGTTTTTCCTGGTTTAAATCTGGTCACTCGTAAGTTCTCTGGAGTCAATAACATTCTCCTTCTCTATTGTCATCTAAGTTTATTCAAGATAATCTCTTTTTCATAATCCATTTCTGAGGACTCATATCTATCGCTTGTGATCTGTTTTTCATTATCTCTTGACAATTTAAAAAAGTATTTATAACTTCAAATAGTATTTACTAATCTCATTTGAAGTTTTAACGTTGTATCACCCAATTATAACTTGAAGTTCTAAACAGAAACTATCATGATGCAAACATAAAAGGTAGAACAAATATATTATTTTCTGAACCACAAGCATACCGTTCCTCTTACTATAGTCGTTGATTGTCCTAACTTGTATATTTATCACGTTAATCAAAATACAAAATGGATTATTTTAATGAATAGTTCACTAAACTTCGAAATATTTTTAATGATATATATGTTTGATTTAGATTGAAATATTTTATGAAATACAAGGCTATATAGTTTGGTTTATACTTGACATTCAGACGACGTTAAATGTTCAACATTATCTGGTATTTTGCCGGAAATGATATACTATTGCAAATGGCATTCGGTGATAAAAGAAATCTATGCGAATAATTTATCTAGTGGTAGAGAGAGAGATTGTTGCAAAATTTCATGTGGGTGATAAGGATTACGTTCACCCTTTATCATTGGCATTTTATACGCGCGTTGTAAAGCTTAGTATGTGCGTCGACTGATTTATTTTTATTATGTATGTAAAAAAGACCAGTACTTTCGATTTTCTGAGATCCATTAGGATTAGAAATTAACTGTTAATGTGCAGTTAATCTTATCAGGTGGCCAGAGGAATTGATTCCGCAGTTAAGATGTTTACGGTAGTAGGGGTATTCAGGAAGAAGATTACACGTGATAGTGTAGGTGGTAGGGTGGTACTTACCCTCCGAGCATTACGTTCACCCCATGGATAGGCGGCGGCGGCGACCCAGGGGTCGTGCTCATTTCTGTGTAGTTCAGCCCTCCATGATTACTGTTTGCCGAAAGTATAGAAAGTCTTTTCATGGACATAACACACCTGCCGGAAAGAGAAGACATCGGGTCGAGATCGTAATTTTTATTAATATCATTTTTCTTCTTCGGACGTGAGTTACGAGCGAAGTGAGAAATAAAGATGTCACATCGAATATAACGTTACATGTGGGTCGAAGCAAGAAAAGAAACAAAAAAATATGACATCATGTGAGAGTAGTATAAGAACTACGTCAAAGAGGGTATGAAAAAATAAATGAAAATGAAAAACAAATAGAAGAGGTGTAGTTACAACATCATCGCAGTATTGATGTGACACATTAGGGCATGTCCATAGGGGCAAATGAAAAATACATGGCCCTCTCCGTCCATGCACGTACAGTCTGAGTAATTTAACTTGTTTATATTTTGCATCGCTCGTTGCTATAGTTACGATGCCTTTACACATCAATATTGGATGGGACGAACATTGTTGATGCATGAAAAGATGGATGGTATGTGGCCTTACTGCTTCTCGTCGTTTGGTTTAAAAAAAAACTAGTGAAAACTCGCATAAATTGAACAATTTCAAACAGTTATAAATGAATTTTCAAAAATTATATGTATAGATAACAATAAAACTTGAAAAAGAAACAAAGAGACAACTAAACATACGTGAGGATTTCAGGTCGTTTAACCATTCCTCTGTGTATGATCATCCTTGATCGTTGCAGACAGAGAGCCTGTGTCGGAGATAACTTTGTCAGAGATAACAATTTTTATTCATTTCCTCCTATCTTCTTGTTAAAAAAGTACCATGTAAATCGTCATCGTTATTATATAAATTATTTATTTCTTTGCACAATATAATTAGCATACAATTTTATTGTAAAATTAGAAGAATAATAATAATTAACCTATCAATGTTAATTGTGTTTACTTTATTAATTTATTTTTAAGTACAGATTGTTGTATGTAATTGTATATATTTTATATTGAATTATTTTGCTCTCCATAGGATGTATGTTAACAAAGGTAATATTGATTTGATTTGAATCTGTATTTATAATTACTATCAAATTTCATTTTGTAAATCAGTGGAATCTATTTACAATATTTGTGAATAGTGGAGCAATCAAATAAATATAATAATGTCATATTGTAATACGATTCCACTGGTAATAATTTCCAACTATATAATTTTATAGCAATGCTATATCCATCGCACAAAGAGAATATTTAATTTATTTTCGATGCGAAATACAATAATTACATATTTGTTTTAATGGAGAGCAGCTGTTCAGTTTCTCACTGACAATCGATTGACCATCTCGTGTCCAGTTGCTGGTTATTTTTAGAACCATTGTTGTATTTCATTCTCTATGTATATATTTTTGTTTCGATTTTGGTTGCGTCACATAATATATCTTTGTAAATAAATGTTTGATCCGTTCGGAATATTCCGATTTGATGTAGGTTAACAGTGGATCAATTTATTTTTTTTTCTTCTCATGGCTATTGTTGAAGCATTATTGATGAGGAAAACTCTTCCTAGCAGTGAAACCATTGACATCTGTTCGTGCATTTTTTAGTCACGCGAAGTATCGAATAGGAAAAATAATGTCCACGTGGCCGACACAATCATTATATTATTAATTGAAATGATACTGTACTTCACAGCTATAATTATAGTTTGTAAATTATTATTGACATTATTTTGTTTTTAATAGAAATTCTAAATTAGATTAGTTAGTTCATTGTAATTTTATTCAACAACAAATTTAGTAAATGTTTCTTGTTATAAATATGATTATTTCTGAATAAGTTTTGAATATGTTTCAATTAAAAATGATATTAAAAATAACGGTAATTATATTTAACATATTTGTTTTAATCTAATTCTCTCAATTCAACATATATAATACTATTTGCTTCAATTTAGCACACATACTGTAATTATTGTATTTCAATTTCGAATTAATTAATTTAGATAATTATATTTTAAACAGAACTTCTAATTACTATTATTGATGAGTTAGATTTCTATTTGTAAGTATTTGTTTTTAATTCTACACATTTAAAAAGACTTTGTTTTTTTTTCAATATTACTGTACATACTTTTAACATGATTACTTATACTTGAATTATCACTAACGGAAATATTATTGTTTTACGGAATACCATTTTTAATAAACCAAATGACTTTATCGGTGGTGTGTAAACATGCTAGAAAGGTGAAAGAACTGAGAGAAAAAATAAAAGTTTTACAGAATTAACTTACATTAAAGTAACATGTTTTAAATCCGGCAAAATTAATAGAGAAAAAAGAAAAACATAAGAAATTAAAAGCCTTCCCATGACTCTGAGGTGAGGCTCGATATTCGTATCAACGTGTACAGTTTTCGCACAGAGACAGAATTGATTTACGATTGTTTCGACATGCAATCGAAATCTTGCGTAATTGCGGAAGACCTAACGTTTCGCGTAGTCTACATTTCATTGTTTGCCTCTTCCTATGTTTCAAAGCCTACCCACAGAAAAACCTGTTTGGTTCGTTGGCACATCAAGAAGTCCATCAATAAATTTGCAATTTACGTTTGATATTTTACGTTCATTCACATACATTTTTCCAAAATCAAAGAAAATAATGATTTATATTTAGAATCATCATTAATTATAATGAAATTAATACAAATTATTAATTGAAGTGTTTCAACGCATTTTTTTCAAAGGCAATGTTTAGAGAATTAAAAGTTACCCTTGGGATACCGATTACATTTTTTTTCTCGCACTTTGGTATTGGTTCTCCGGCGAAAACTGTACCGCTCATCTCACCGCACACATTACGTATATTTACCTAATGTAGAGCGCCGTATCGCCGTCTTGCAAGCACTAAGTATAACTTCCCATCTCGATATAGTTGCTGAAGATGAGTTGCACTTTTCCGATGGATCCTAGTTGTGGTTTTTGGCTAATTTTCAGAAGTCAACCTGCAATAAAAAACGTACGATGCCGCACCATAAAAAAATAGTTATGAATATTGTTGGATGAAAGAATGTGTTGCGTTATGGGCAAGCCGGTATCGACTAAGCCTTTCCACATCATTTGTGTGTACATACACTTTTATATTTTTTTTTGTTCGTGCAATAATCGATACAGACTAACCCACTTAGTTCCATCCATTACGGGAATTAAAATTGCCTTTTCATTTTCACCGTTCATTTCTGTCTTCATTATTACAGCGATGATCAAAAATACCATCCCAACGTAGTCAGAACTCTACGACTAAATGTTGATTACAGGAAACTCGGATTATATATCGACTTGCTTAGAAAATTCTTTATTTATTCAGTATGATTTGCGTTTCTTCCCTCTATCTCTATTTAATACTTATGTATACACCACGCAGACGTATAAAGAAAGTGAAAACTGAATTGAATCGATTTAATTAGTTTAACTGGATTCTAAGACCAGTAACTCTACTAACAGTATATAGCCTTTAATACTCATCCTATACTAATTTTGTGCCTGATTCTATAGTCAACCATTGATTGGATTTAATATCAATTAATTGTACGGAAATTGGTTGTCGCTGAAACTAACATAAAATGAATCAATTGTCGTTTTTGTCTTTCGTATTTAACCTGTAAATAGATATGAAAACATGTTTTGATAGACTTTATTTATCTTCGATTGATTTTAAATGATTATTTTTTTACTATGGAAAATTTTCATGATCAACACCAAAAATTATAAATATTTCAATTAGCCCGGTTTCAAACAGTCTAGGATATTGGTGAAACCAATTATTCGCACTGTTCGAGATTTTGCTGTATTGAATTATATAAATATCTAAAAATGTTTGAATTATATTATTTCTTAAAATTATTTTTTTATATAATATTATATGAAGCATTCCAGTTTATTTCTCTACTAAAAAGGGCTGAAATATATTGTAATATTCTTATGATTAATAATAATTATACTTTAACTTATTAAAGTGATAAGTGTTTTAATTAAATACTATCCATTTTTTTTAAGTATCTGTCAAGTTTTTTTTCTGAAGTTTAGATACTACCCATAGTTATAAATATTATATGTATTTAAGTATTGAAGTTTTGGGATTTTTCGCTTTTTCAATAATTTTGTATTTCGTAATTGATAAATGCAAATACCGACGAATGCAGTGTTGATCTATATCAAATTGAGAAGAAGAAAATATCTATAAATATCACAAAAAGTAAATAATAATAAATACATATTTATAATTCAATTAGTAAATTCATAAATATTTGTCAAATGGGTGTACTCAATAATTAGTAATTACTATTTTAATTATAATAGAACAACATTAATATTTAAAAAAAAAATGAAAGTTAGAAGATTACAATTAAATATTGGTAATATTGATTCTTTTCTTTGCAGGCGTTCACTAATTTTGAATGGAATAGAGTCTCATCGTCGTAAGATTAACGAAAAAGAGGTAAGAGACATTTTCTATCTGTATTATTTTCTAACGGGAACTGTATTATTCGATTATGCATAATTTGTAACAACTTAGAGGAGGCTTTCTCTCAGCAAATTCAATCGGTGATACTTCTCTATTAACCTTAATATACGTGACATTTCTGTCCGTGAAACTAGACCCGTTTTCACATCTCGAAATGATGGAAACGTATCAGATGCAGTTCCAAATATGAAATTGAGGATGAACTAAAAATGCGGAAGGATACAAAAATGCCGCGACACCCCGTAATCGGAGATTAGTTATCTAACCTTAATCGAGGTGTTTACTTGGCTCATGCATTATTGATAACATTGGCCTGTATAGATTTTTCGAGTGCCTCTTAACAAATTTACGATATTTTTATATGATATAAGAAAGTGGATTTAGTTCAAAGAAGGAATTATTTAAATCATATTTGTATTTTGTTTTATTATATTTATAAAAAAATAAACAGATAAAGTCATCTAAAACCTATGTAATTCAGTTCAGTTACAATATATTTACACTGGAGAATGATGATTTAAATTTACAACATTGATTCTAAGTCTGATCTCTGCGATTGGTAATGATTCGGTTTTGAAAAGTACCATTTGTATTTCATAACTAGTTTAGCGCAAATCTGGATGAGCACTATCATAATTATTATCACAAGGAGCGTCGAAATCGTACTTAACTTCGATTCTACACTTTCCAATCCTTTCGAAGGCTCTAGCTTGATAGCCTCATGTTTACTTTCTCCTTCAGGATCTTCTAAGCAATATATGCCCCTCATACTCAGCCTATCCTTCTCGGTGCCTGCAATTAAGCTTGCACGTCGTCGAAGGCTATTTAATAATGTCGATAGTTCACTGCAGAAAAATAGATTATCGTTGATGTCAATATAGCGAATCTCGATTATCTCACTGTAGTTCAATGTTGTCAGTTTATTATTGCTGAGGTCTAAAATATATAGGTTTGGCATATTGTGGAAAGCATATGACGAGATGTTGCTGATTAAGTTCGAACTCAAAAGAAGACTTCTCAGAAAGCGTAGCCCGACGGTATTGCTGGCGTCCAATCTCGTTAATTGATTCTGCGACAGATCCAGGTTTCTGAGCTGATGCAAATGGCCAAAACACGCCGTTGGTATACCCTTGATCAAGTTTCCTCTCAATATTAATTCAGTTAAGTTCACCAAAGTATCGTCAAATGTGTTCTTTTCCAATACGTCGATAACGTTGTGGCTCATGTTCAATACAGATAAATTAGTAAAATGCTTAAAATGCGAAACTGTACTCAATAAGTTAAATGAAATGTCCAAATTTTTTATAGATTTTACGCCTTCCAGATCGTCGGATACCTCGCTTAACTCGTTATACGATATGTTCAGGTTGAAGAGATTATCTAGGTGGTTGAATATATTATTCTCCAACACCCTAAGACGGTTCCTGGAAAGATCAATTGTATTTAAATTGTTTAAATTACTGAACGCAAATGACTTGATAGTGTTTATATTATTCATCGATAAATTTAAATTTTTCAAGTTTGGAAGGTTATCCAACACATTTTTATCGAGCGTAGTCAATCCGTTTCCATCCAAATGTAAACTGACCAGTTCGGGCATTTTGGCGAATGCTTCAGGTGCGATCTCGCCGATTTGGTTATTTGATAGGTTCAAATACTCGATGGAGTTGTGTTTAAAAGAACCTTTATTCAGTTTATTCAATCTATTGTTGTTCAGGTTCAAGTACAAGAGCGACGAGATCTTCTCAAAATTGCTCATCTCGATGACAGAAATTTCGTTGTGCGATAAATCCAATTTAGTTAAGGCACTTAATTGTCCAAACGAATCGGGATGCACAAATGTCAGTTTGTTTCTGCTCAGATCTAGAATCAATAGGTTGCTCATATTTTTGAAAGCGTCTTCCTCTACATTTCTGATGTCGTTATTCGTCAGATTCAGCATGTTCAATTGCTCCAGCGCAAGAAAACCATCCAATTTTGTTAATTTATTGTAACCCATATTCAACTCGGAAAGTTCTTCCAATTCAGCGAAGGCGTCGTGCGGGATGTCTCTCAGGAAGTTGTGAGATAGATCGAGATACCTGAGCCCCGGCAATTTCAGAACGTCCACTTTTATAATCTCCAATTCGTTATAAGATAAGTTCAGTTTATTCAGGTATTTCAAGTTCAATTCTTCTATGGTTGCTATCTTATTGTTTGCCATGTTTAAGTACGTTAGAGATGCAGGGAAACTGTTGTTTGCCATTTCGATGAACTCGTTGTACTCCAGATTTAGAGTCGTGATGTAGGTGCCTTGTAAGGTGTCGTTCACCGAAGTAAGCCCGTTGTATGAGAGGTCTAAGTTTCTCAAACTTGATAGGTTTCCGATCATACGAGAATCCAACTGGCGAAGGTTGTTCTTGCTCATGAACAAGTTTTTTAAGCTCTTGTACTTAGAAAATGCGCCTTCCTCGATATTTTCCATGTGCGTGTCAGTCAGATTGAGCGTGTGCAGGTAATTGTAGAAATTGGTGGTTCCCACGATGGATGCGTTAGTAAAATACTGGAAGTTGGTATCCTCGAATTTCACTGAAGTGCAAGATGTTCTGATGGAGTAATTGGTGTACTTTTTGCATATGCATCCCATGATCCACCACGAACAACCCAGGGATTGCGTCGCGACCGAAGCGAGCAACAGAATGTAAACTTTCCACATCTGCGATTTAAATATGGTCTTTCATTACTTGATATACTTTGTTTAGTATTAGTATTTTAATTACCTCTTTATCACGGGTTATATATGTTGAGAAGCTTGAAACATGGGTTCATGTGATTGTGCTCAAGTATACTGAAGTAGCAGTGGCACTGGTTTCGAATATGTCATCTAATTGTTATCAGTCTCCTCTGATTTTGGAGAGAGTCGCGTCAGAGCTCCTCGTTCCAGCAACTTTCAGACACTATTAATTTCACAGAATGTCACCTATTGCTTTCCTGATGAAGATTCGATGTACCGAAAGTGGTCCCGCACTGCCCACAAATCAGAATGAGTCTGTATCGCAGGATTTCAATTCGTTCAATTGCGTAGACCTAAAATTATCTTATTAGCCTTTTATCTCTCATGCAATTGCGCAATGCGACTTGAGTCGTTCCGTTGATAGTGGGATTCCAAGTGCATACTAATTACATTACGCATTTTCTGTTTATGTATAACATTTTTTCCCATCATTCTTCCACCACTCCTCTCGTGTTCTCAACGATAGGCAAACATAAATAAGGGAAAAGGTAAGAATTTTTGTTTCTATTATAATGAATACACGACTTATTTATTGAACCAACTTTACAAACACGTCTTTCGTTTTATTTTATTTCTCGTTTTTGTTTTAAGTTCATTAAAATTTATTTTCGTTGAAATAAATAAATAAATTATTAAAATTATTTTCGTTGAAATAAATATTTCAACGAAAATAATTTTTAATTAAGTAAACAAGCGGTTGTTAATTTCAATTGGAATCCATCGGTCCGATTGTTTTTCGTCTTATTATCGTGATTCTTCACAATTTATTTATGACGCGTGTCGCATAAAAATGATTACAGTTTTAATAAACTGATAATTCTGCAACAGCACAAATTTAACATGTTATGCGATGAATCTTTAAAATACAGAGTATTCGTACTTGAAACCGAGTAAGTTGCATTCCAAAATCTTATCCAAGCGGATGAAAGATTCATTGTCGCGTTGGAATAGATACATTTATATTTCATTATTGTAAATTAAAAAGAAAATATTTTCATTTAAATTCTAATTTTAATAATAATAGTTATATATAAAATATACATACAAAAATTGTAATATTTCAAAATATTATTTTTCTGAATTTAATTTGCTACCAAAATTTGCTACAGCATACACATACACATCATTTTAAAGAAACAGTTCCAAGAAACAAAATTCGCTCGTTCTTTTTCAATAATCGATGTCTCGAAGTATCCAGAAAGACCTTAATTGAAATTAATTTTTATTGCAATCTTTGTATTCCTATTAAGTGAGTTTATTTCGTCGTCTCGAATATTTGGATTGTATCCAGAACATCACTGCAATAATACTTCTATGAAATAACATCCAAAGTGGTCATTTGCATGCTGCATATTATCATCAACGTTTAAAATTGCTTATGAAATTGTTACGTGACGATAATATTAACACATAAAAGGAATGGAAAAATGCCATCTTATCACCAGTTATGCAATAGATTGCTATTGCATAGATCCGAAGTTGCCAGAAATTGTTGACGACTCTATATTAAAGCCGATTATATGATGATAGGTTGGTAAATGCAGAATTATCGGGAAATTTTGCATGGCTGATGGAAATTTAATTATTTATGGATAGGATGACATTTGATCTTTGCTCGCTGCTTCAAAACAGCTCTTATCGTTACTTAAACAAATAAACAGAAACTGACTTCTTAGTATTTTGATTTTGCTCAGAGTATAATAAAAAATAAGATAAGCGCATTTAATTGCAGTTTTATTATTAAATTAAAAAACACATTTGATTTTAATATTAACAAAACAATATAAATATTTTTTTTTTAATTAATATTAATTTGTGTCTGGTCAGGTTTATCATTGTTTTGTTATTTTTCTATATTAAATCACTTGAGTCTTGACTGTGAAGCATTTATAAGATTGGTATCTTCCATGAGATTCTGAGTGTACCGTTGGTCAATAATTCATCTCTATTATTGTCCGTTTGTGTTCAAGGGTCGACAACCTGAGTGCAAGGAAAACGGAAATCGGTTCGTCCGGTCCCCAAATTATCGTCCATTAATCTCAATAAAGCTTTATGTTGATTTATTTATGTTTAGAAAATGCGATTAGTATACATGATGTAGATAAAGTCTTCTATATGCTACAAAGTACAGGTGATTCCGATAAAACGGGGCACATGGGGTGTCCCAATTAAGAGGAATCGACTATATTTACAATTGCGACTGAAAGTAATCATACGACTATATAGAGCAAAAGTTTGTTTTGTTAGTAACTGATCGAATAAATTAAATAGCATCACCTTTGACTATTTCCAAATATAAAAATATATACATTTCCTTCAAATATATAAGTCATCGAAGCTGAAAATTTTTACATAGCGTAAAAATGGTCTATTTCAAGTTCGATCTATATGCTAGTATCTGTTTTTGCAGAATGAAATCAATAAATTATACTTTAGATATTATTACAGTTGTTCGCGTATTTTTCAGCTTGAAGTTTATTTAGTTAACTTTTGTGTGTGCTCCACCATTATTAGTTACCATCTTTCAGAGGGCGCGATTTTTCAAGGGAATGGAAAAGTGGGCGCCACAATGAACAAAGGAAGACCCTCCCACCGTTGGATGTGGCGGGGATGTGTTATCCTTTTGTTCCTTGCGGCCACTTCGCCCACTTTCCTGTTTCAGTGAAAAATCTTGCTGCGAAAAGTGGCCTTAGGTTTCCTTCGCCGCTATAAATATTGTTTGGTGCAGGTTAGAATGGCGTTTCTTCAGTTCACCTACAAAATATTTTCCATTCGCTAGCTCTGTAATTATAGAAGTAGTATAGAAGGAAATAAAATAGGTTAATAATAATTGTAAAATATTTTTTGTCTCCTTTGTTTGGATTATATAATTATTTAATAAATTAAATATATAATTTTATACATAGTTTTATCTATATAATTCGCATTTTGTGAATGCCCATTATTAAAAATGATATTTTAGGTGACAAGAAATGCACCTATTTAAGGTATTTCTTTTTGAATTGGAAATAATGAAACTACGATTTTTATATTTGCAGTTATTGCTGATTGATGACTATAATCTATTAAATATGAAGAGGTTATTACAGGCAATTCGCAAAACGTGATTTAGTGGCGATAGGATTGACGTTGGGCTCGTTTAATAGTAGATATATTTTGGGTTGAGGGCGTGTGGTTTGAACCGTCGGATGTACCCGCACACGTTGGCAATTGCGGGGGTGGTTTTAAAACCGCCGTCGCGTCACATGTCGAACTTCACATGGATTTATTTGTCTCGGAATTAGAAATGTCTACCCTTTCGGTGGCGCCAGTTTCGTCCTCGTTACGACACGACACGTGCGTCACTGTTGTAACCCTCTCCAATTGGGCACGAGTTGTCACGCAATGGGTACGTCATCGATGACGTTAACTTTCGAAATGGGATAGGTCGCGTGTTAATTATTGATGTTGCTTCGCGAGGGGTATGTGGGCGGCGGCGGACGGGACGTTTGCGGGGATGGTAGTTAGTGAAAGAGGGTTTGCGCACAGTGGCTCAGTCGAATATCGACAGGACAGGCTTTAATCTATGAGTGAGAAACAATTTTCGAATTAAACAATTGCAATTGTTTGGAATCGATCATCAATGAAACGTCCACTTTGTTAAATTGAATGAAATTGTATCAAAGTATGAGCAATGAACATGCTAGTATTAACTAATTATATAATGAAAAAAAAATCTTCAACAAAGCACGAAATCCGGATCTGTGTAGCATAGAGTAAATTGGCGCTAAACGAATCATTTTACGTTTTTGTTTGTATTGGTTGTAGACGAACGTTTTTCGCCTTTGACTGCAGGATCTTCATCATCTAAAGATGTTATGGAGGAACATGATATGCAGTCTATTTATGAAAAGGGTCATCTTGTTCGTAAGTTTTCTTTTTAAAAACTAGATCTCTCTGACTATTTGCAATTCTGAGTTAAAGTGCTCTTTGCGCATGATCTTCCTACCTCGAGCACATTGGACATTTCTATATAATGCACATAACAAATCGATTCCGTAAAGCTGTACGATTAACACTTAATTTCACATCAAAACATAAATGCTGAATTTTTAAATTTATTTTATTTTTTATTCTGCCATGTACAGAAAAAATCATCATATTATCTCGCAGTTGGCATTTGTGTTCTTTTTTAATCAATAATAATTTATTAATTACATATTAAATATAAGAAAAGAAATTTATTAATACTTTATTGGTAGTGTATCATTCATATTCAGTTGACAAGGTTATTTTTTCCATTTGTACATCCTCTCTAAACAATAATCCATTGTTTATATATAATTTACTGGAATTGATTAGATAATTGCACTTCCTTTGTCGACCAAGGCAAATACGTGGATTACAGAAAAATGTCCCATTAACATTTGTATTAGTTAAAATGATTTTTTTTTAAATTTTCTTCGTTGTTTTATTATGTTCCTTTTATGTGTGTTCCCTATTTAATAACAAGATATTATATGAGATAGGAGGCAATTTATTATTATATTAAAATATGATAATTAAAAGCGAAATTTTAAAGGATTTCATCAAACTATAATTCCGTTTTATATATTCTATTGATCTTCCTATGGATTTTTCTGTGGTTACGCAGTTTGAATGGTGTTAATAAGTTTGAAGTAAAGTTGGAACTGAATATACCAAAAGTTTTTCCCATTTCGCTTGACACATTCATATTTATAGGAACAATGGAAAGGGATTCCCCGTTTGCAGATTCTCTCAGGCTGCTGCGAATCAAATAATACGTGCGCTGTTTCCTACTTTTTTTTGAATACAGAAGTGGAGGAACATGTCGATGCTTTAAATCAAACAAATAGCTTTACGCTCAATTAGGCTTCTGTTTTCTTTTCTTCCTTTGCTACTTATTCAGTTGTTGTTCGCTTTGTATGCTGTTAACATTATGACAGTTGGTATTGGGTCCGTATGTACTTTGCAGGGATAATTCTGTTCCATTTCTTCTTGCTTTTTCTTCTTATGATTCTCTTCCATTTTATAGTGGAAACTGTATTTTCGTCTCTTCTAGGAAATAACAATAAAATTTCATGGCGCCGTAAACGTAAAGTTGCGGCTTCTGCGTTTGGAATACTCATGATTCAATCTCGAAATGCCGATACTTATCCAAACTCACCTTATCAAATAGATTTTTAAATTAATTTATAATATATGGTTAAAAGCAATGATCGTCCTATGGAATCAATGATGCGATTATATATGGCGGAGGCTACGGTTCCGTATGATCGTAATAGTGAATCTTCTGAACAGTACACAAAGCACACGAGCCAAGCCAATAGAATGATGAATTATGTAACGCAACAGAATGTATCTGTGCTTAAAAATTTGAGCGGCGTACCGATGTGCAACAACGGGCTGGGGTGATGTCGTAAATTTGCCTTGGTATCTCTTCGGTACCGGTATTTACGAAGTGTTCGAAGAATTTCTAGGCGTTCCGTGTCTTTTCCATTTTGTCATTGAATTATTTAGGCGATTCATTCATAAATTTTAGCGAAATGTAACGGCTTCTGCTTCACGCTCGACTTTTATTATAAGGGGTGAAAAGCCCAACCTCACGCTTGCTTTCTCGAAGCATCCCTCTTCCTTCACGAAATGCACTCATTATTGTTTCAGGACCGGTTCCTTTGGGGGGAAAGTAAAGCGTTCGTAACTTTGGGAAAATGTCAATCGATGAATACAATACAACGTTTTCCCGGAGATAATATTTATATTTTGGAGATGCTCGTAGTATAATGTTTATTAGACTAAAGGTTTCTTTCAGTATAATGAGTCCGAGGCTCGAGAGCCAACACAGAGAATACACACGAGATAATACAGAGAACCTTACATGTTACTAAGATACAAGAGGAAATAAGAGAAAAGAGCCCGGGTATATATATTTCAGTTTATTTAGTCGGATTGAGACATATTACAATGTTAATTATTTAAAGGTGCATGTCTCTGTAAGCCTTAGTTCTTTCGGCATTAGAGCCCGGGTACAGATAGGTTGCAGCTTATATACCCTAACCAGGTAGTACCCTTATCAGACCTTCCCGGAATACCAGCTGCGGGTTGCCTCACTCCACCGTACCGGGCATGTAGGTGACGTCATATAAGCGGGCTGGAGTGAGCACCACAATATATTTAACGATTTATGAAAATTTTTGTTTACAATATTTTTTTATAATAACTAATCAATTATCATTAGCTCGCGAAAAGTACGCGAAGCATTAAAGATACACTTGGAATTTTACGGTCCATCGTATAACTCATACTTCGAATAATTAGCGAAGCCTTTAAAAGTTTTCGAATAAAGGATGCTATGAGCGGTCGTAACGATACACCTTGGCGATTACTATAAAAAGCATTAACAGTTTCAAGCCTGAAACAAATATGGACTGGGAATAACTCTGTGGACGGAGGACGACTTTAATGTGGGAGGTAGTCCACTGGACACGGTCGCCAGTTGCGAGTTTCCACGCTAACTTGCTGCAAATTTCTGGACAGCTTTAAGCGTTTAATCCGATCCTGAGAGGCTTTGGATGCGCATAAGTGCGAAAGGGAGCCATCACGTAGTTCGTTACACTTGCATTTTGATTGTTTGTGGGTAATAAGGAGAATGTTTCTCTGCACGTGGGGATCATCGGTTTTCATTCCGAAGCTTAATATCTAAAGCAGGAATGGATCGGAAGTGTGGTCGGCGCGGTGCGGTTATGCGGCATCCAATTCTATTCAGAATACCTAGGTGGTTATTAGGTCACGCGCGAAATTTTCGTAAATCGCACCGTATAGCAGTTAGGTAAGGGATATGGTGGGGTGTAGCGTGTGCAAGGGGTTCTGTTTATTCCCAGCGACGCTTGAAAGTTTATCATTCTGCTGGCAGATTTATGCCATTCCGTCTACTCTGCACGCGATAGAATATTCTAAAAGGGATAAAGGAACGCAGGTTTGCTCGATATCTGTTCTTACACTTATCCTTACGCTAAAGTGAACAGTATATTGAAATTTATATATATTCTTGTAGCTATTGCAATTCACCAAAATTCGAAGCCGACCCATCAAATGCATGTTTATTCAGTTAATGTTGCATCCACAGAATGTCTCATATAAGACAGTTCTACAATTTTATTTCAAAATTATTTATTAAAAAATTATGAATAAAATAGAAATGATTGATTATATTTTACATATAAATTATAGATTGATCACTAACGATGAGCAGTGGAAGAATAATATCATTATATTAATTTTAAGAAATTATAAAATTGCTAAGTACAAGCTAAAATTGGATATTTTTGGGATTAGTTTTATTATTTTATTAGGGTTCGTTTAGGTAAACGCTGGTAATATTCACTTCTCGTGATGCGTATATTTTAGGAAAGAAAGCGTTTCGTTTAGTGTTAGTCCAAGAGCGAGCAAGCACGTAAGTGAGATGATTTCGAGAGAATAGTTCTGTGCCGAACGTGCATAGTGTATTGAGTGGATTTGGTTTATATTGTATTAGTAATTATGTTATTATAACAATTTCGAGTTTAATATATAATTTTGTATATTTTTACATGGATTATTAAATTTGTTCTAATGTAAGATACTAGAGAAATATTTTGCTTATAATGATGATAATTTGATCATTATATTACTCATATTAATATAATAATCATCTGACTTCTATTGAAGTAAACACATATTTTTTTCATTTCTTCACGGTTATTGCAAAATATTTATTGAATGAATAGATTGTTTTTATTGATTGTTATATACTCTCTCTTATTATAGAAATTAACAAAACTATTTTAATTACATTATGAATGTTTTTTTCCAGTTAATGACCAGAATGATGTCGGCCAGTGAGCTGCGTCGATACCTGCTGGCTTTGTTCATGCTCGGCGGTATTTTGCTCTGCTACCTCTTCTGGAATCAACCATCGACTCCGGGGATGGGCGCCTCCAGCTACACTAACAACAATGCCCAGAAAGTGTACATACCGTATCTGACGTAAGTGTTGTTTTTGCCTTGTTCGCACTCCGGCGTGGAAAACGAGAGAATCACGATTGCGATTCGAGCATTTGCAAGGATCACGAAGAGTGTGTATATGTGCAAAAGTGCAAAACGCCACAACGGCGGATGCAATAAAGCACTGCTCAAAGTGTTGATCTGGGATGGGTGGAAAGGCCTTGCAGATGAAAGGAGAGTGAGAGAGTTCTGATTATAATCGGATACTTGTATTTACATAAAATTAATTGCCTTCTAAGTGTACTCCGAATTCAATTTGCTCTAACCTCTTTAACGAAAAACAAAACTGATTATATAGAAGCCCGTGTTGTACAAAGTTTTCTTGCTTTAATGTATAGCAACTTAAATGCTCCCGTTTATATTTAACAACGTAAAGGCAAGTCAAATTTATGTATAAGTATGCTGATAATTTTGATACTTTCGTAATGATGTCGCGTAGCTAATAATTTTATCTATCTAAACACAAACTGCGATATAAAATAATAAACTAAAAAACAATAAATCTAGAGAATATCTGGTCAAAGGGCAATTTACGATTTTAAAAATAATTTACAAAATAAATAATAAATTGTCATTGTTATTTTTATTCAATTCGCGATATTTGTATATTCGATATTATAAACATGTTTTTTTAATATTTACATGGGGAATCAAAATAATATATATATATAAATATTATTCAGTCATCGTAAATGGAAATCAATGAGTAAAGTATATGTGATAAATAATGTTAATGTTAAATGTACGTTATGAATACGACAATGTACGTGTCCGAATAGGGACACTTTTTATTAGTTTAAAAAGTACGTTTCATCAAAATAAAAGGAAAAGAAAAAAATAATTGAATAAATTTGAACAATTTGTACGAATCTGTTGACTTTGTCTTCATTAGTGGATTTGTTGGGAAATTATTGTGAGGCGATAAAAGCTACATTAATTACGTGCGCATGTTCTAATTAATAATTGGACGCAATTAGAACAAAAATATGCGGGATGTATGACAAACGGGGGAAAAGAGAGGTAAATAGAGATGGGAGGTTACATAACCGACAATGCAAATAAATATACGTGCATTGTGGAGCAGCTATTTAGCGCGTTTCATGCAACGTGTACGACAAAACCTTTCGGTGCGGCCATCGCGTTGCATTTCCCAGGAGACACCCACACCCTGAGTTGAGTTGAGAGGGGAATTCCCGAACGATAGCTAATTAATTCGTCTGAACTGAACTGAACTAGCGCTTATTTGTTTGCACGACAATGGAATTAATCGAGAATATAATTAATTTAAAAAAAATCGGAAGGGGCTGAAAACGTGAGTAAATAAACCGCACGTGCGAGGAGCGCGGAAGAATTCTTGTTTTTGAGGAGACTAAGGGTAAAGTATTTTTGAGAGATCGAGAACGACGAGAGTGATTGACGATGATTGATTGAAGTTTCGGATACGCGGCCTCTCCTCTCCCAAACACACCCTGGAATACAAATTATTTTCTCCTCCTCACGTCGAAATATAAATTACGACACTTTCCGCGAGGCGGAGAGGATTAATTAAAAACGCCACTAATTATTTAAGGGTAAATCAAGCGGATCGCTTAATTTTTCTTCTCGAAAGTTGAGTTTCTTCCGCAAAACAAGTTCTGCGTGTGCTAATCCTTCACTTTATTGACGTTCGCATCAATTTATTTTTCATATAGGACATTGCTACAATTTTGTTTAAAAAGATCTCGATTTTAATACTGAAATCCATTATGAGCCTCAAAATTGAAGAAAATAAACATTTGACAGTAACAAAATCGCGTATTTGGTTTACAGTAGTATCAATAATTACAAAATATTTTTTATGTAAAGAATTTAGATGTGAAATGAGCAAATAATTGAATTTTCAAATAAAAACTAAAAACTGTTATTAATGACAAAAAATAATTAAGTGTTTGTTTTTGTAATTAATATTTACATAAGCTTAGTAACTCAGTTTATCTGCATTATTATTAGAATGAGATAAATTATAAAAGTTTTTCAATTTCGGTGATAATCTTATTAACGGAGACGAACTCGGCTCGCGGATGAATTCTCGAATTACTCCGGTCGCGTGGTTTTCTGACCGACGATCGTCTGAAAATTTGATGGAATTGAAATTTACGGCCCGGCGTATCCACCAGATTTTCGCGCTATTGAAAACATGCATATTATATAAACTTTTATTGTTTGTACAATTTGTTTTGTTTCAAACTTTATTTATTATAAAATTATTAATAAAAAAAAAACAGAATTTGATTAATATGTGTAAACTAAATTCATTGTTCTCTAACATAGTAGCTTTTTTATTATTTTAAACGAAAGAATACTAATAAGCTTATATATTTACTATTAATTATCTCAGAAGAAAAGTGTTTTATTTAATTTTGTTTTTTTTTTTTTTAAATTTAAGAGATGTTTCATTGAATATTAATAAATACTGAACTTTTGAAATTACTTTTCGGTGTATTTGAATATTAATCCAAGTGGAAATATTCAAATGTGTTGCTGACTTTGTATTATTCTCGAGATGCGAATGAATAAATGAAAAATACAAACTTTATAAACTTCTATCGTTGCAGGAAATCGGATTTGCGATGGAGCTGGGAGTGCGAGGGTCAACGGTGCGTGCGTAAGGAAGTCGGCAAGGACGATCGTCACACGTCCTTAGCCACGTGCAGCATGTTATGTGGATCGACTCAATTGTGGCCACAGCCGACGGGCCCTGTGACCTTGGGCAGTCGTTCCGTGGTCTTCAACCATCAACAGTTCCAGTTGGACACCATGGTCAGCGAGCCGGCTCGTTCGTTCATCATGTACTCTTTCGCCGCATTCAACTCGAACGTCGTAAATTTAGTGCAAAACGTTGACTACACCAAGAGCAAGAGTGACATCAGGAAGTTCGTCGTGAAAATCTCTGTGTTCGATGCGAAGGTTGTGCGCCTGCTGCTCACCACCGATGAAAGTTATAAGCTGGTGGTAAGACCGAACGAGGATAATGACTTGGTGGCTATGATCACGGCTCAGAACGTGTTCGGGGCGCGACACGCTCTGGAATCTCTGTCCCAGTTGATTTGGTGGGCAGAGTTTGAAAACGGGGGGATGTTGAAGACTTTGAGAGGAGCGAGCGTGCAGGACGCACCCAAGTTTCCGTACAGAGGTCTGATGGTCGATACGGCTAGGAATTTCATGCCCGTAGATAATCTGAAGCGAGTGTTGGTGGGAATGGCTGCAAACAAATTGAATGTGTTCCATTGGCACGTGTCTGACTCGCAGAGTTTTCCGCTCGAGTTGCCGAACGTTCCACAGCTCGCGAAGTACGGATCGTATCGACCTGATTTAGTTTACACCGTCGAGCAGGTGAAAGAATTAGTGGAGTTCGCCAATCTTAGGGGTATCAGGGTGGTGATTGAGGTGGATATGCCGGCACATGCTGGCAACGGATGGACGTGGGGACCGAGCGAAGGACTTGGAGATTTGGCTGTTTGCGTTAATCTTCAGCCGTGGAGTTTATATTGTGGGGAACCGCCGTGCGGACAACTAAATCCAGATAATCCTAATGTTTATGATGTGCTTGAGAAAATATTCAAAGATTTGCTGGAAATGACCGGGGAAAGTGAGATCTTCCACATGGGTGGTGACGAGGTGAATTTGGAGTGCTGGGCGCAGTACAGGAACCGGAACAACACCAGTAGCTACGTGGATTTGAACGAGGTTTGGGGTAACTTCACCAAGGAAGCGTTGAAGAGACTTGAGAAAGCTAACGGCGGGAAGAGGCCTAAGCATGTGGTTGTTTGGAGCAGCAACCTCACGAAGAGACCTTACTCGGTTAAGTACTTTGATAAGAACAGTATAGTTGTACAGAGCTGGGGCGGAAGCGAGTGGACGGAAACGCCTGAGCTGGTAGCAGGTGGATACAATGTGATCATATCGCACGTGGATGCGTGGTATTTGGATTGTGGTTACGGTAGATGGCGCGAACACGGGGAAGCCGCCTGCGATCCCTACAGGACGTGGCAGACCGTTTACAGGCATCAGCCTTGGAACAGCGATGTTTATTACAGGAAGCAGGTTCTGGGTGGAGAGGCCTGCTTGTGGACGGAACAGGTGGACGAGAAGTCTTTGGATACCAGGTTGTGGCCGAGGGCTGCGGCATTCGCGGAAAGGGTTTGGAGTGATCCTCCTGTGGACAGATCGTCGATGTCCATTAACGAGGACGTTTATACCAGACTGTCGACGCACAGGGACAGGCTTATATCTCGCGGCCTCGCCGCAGAAGCCCTTTGGCCGCAATGGTGTTCGCAGAATCCCGGTATGTGCCTTTGACGGCCCGGCCCGAATGTTTAGTTTGAAACGAGGAGATACAATCCTCCTCTCGCCTGCCTCTCTCTTTCACACAGTCACTCACTCACTCTCTCAGACATTGATGCAAATGCAATAGACATTTGCATATAAAAGCAGCGTGTTCGATGAATATTCAAGTACCGACTGGAAGAAGAATATTTCATTTCCGTATATCAAAAGCTTACGTTGTTTGTGCGCGTACTGACCAAACTTTAAATGTGCACCTCTTACATAGTCTGACACCTCATCCATACTCAACCCCCAAAAAAAGAAAAGACCTAATTCGTGCACAGTGATATTAGTTTATAAGGATATAACAATAATGTACATAACGTCCAATATGTCCATTATACGAAACTGTAATTTCTTTAGCCTAATTGACCAATGTTTGTGCCAATCTTATATTCCTATTTTTTTTTTCGTATTTTGTAATTTAGTACAAATGTCACCGACTAAATTGTGGTTTAGATAGATTAAAAAAGAAATATGTTGAAACAAGAAAATAATGTATAATAAATAATCGGCTTTCACCTGAATATGCAAAGACAAAAATAACTGTTTTTATCGTACTTTATGTGCGATCTTTCGTAGAACAAGGTCTCATTTGTCTGTTCTTTACTTTTCCCATCCCACCTGTATGAAATCTTTGTTATTAATTTCCTAAATATTAAATGTTCATTTAAATACATGCCACTTCATTTACTTCATTCATCTACGATTAATTTAGATTAAAAATAATAATTTGAAGATTATTGCAATGAATATATAATATAATAAACATTACAAATAACAATATTTTTTTCATAATTTTTTTGTTTGAACTTATTTATTCTAATTTTATATTTGTTGCATTTAATATTGGTATTATTTTCTTTATTTAATAAAAAAAAGTATGAAATAAATACACATGAACTAATTAATATAATTCTGGTAGTTTATAATTGGATTAATATTATTAAATTAGCGAATATTCATATTGGTACATTTCTGGGTTTTAATTTTTTAAAAATCAATAGCAATAAGATGCAAATAAATTGAAATAAATCGATATGTAAATAATTAGATTATTGATTTTATCTATGAGATTTTGCAGCTTGTTGGTACATTAATTATAATTTCCTAGAACTGTCTTGTAAATACCATTTGAACCTTTAGCGTAAATACTGTTGTTAATTTACTAAAATTAGAGACAAAATTATTAACCTCCTTCACAATAAATAATATGTATGTTAATCGTTACACATTCCAATTAAAGTTTGGTATACTTTCCGCGATTATTTTTGGTTCCAATTAAGCTGCTTTTGCGATTGCATGCATTTTTTTCGTTGGTATCGAATTTCGGGAGCTCGAGAAATACGATATTCGGGGTGGTTTTCTTTTTCCGCAGTAAAACGATTGATAAATAACGCTTGATTGCGAAATAAAGTTAGTGTATCATCATTATTTTTCCCTCGTATCGATTCAACAGGATCATTAAGTTACGAGGACGAGGATTTTCGAAATGTAATAAATATATAAACTTGAGACAACAACGGATTTCAGTTGAGACGAATATTTGCTTTGATGGATGGAAACCAAAATATGGTGGTTGAGTTTTTGATTTATTTATTTATTTTGTATAAAAAAAATAATATTTCAAAATAAAATAAGTAATTAAATGTAAAAGCATTTTTCAGTTAATTGATATTATTTTAAAAATGTTAATATTCCAGAAGTTGAATTAAAATTTAAGGTAATTAATTGATTTTTTAAACTCAAAATTTCAGATTTTAAATTAACCTATCACCAGAAATATTTTTTCCCAATTTAATAATTTTTAGTTTTTTTTTCTTCAGAATTGAAATTCATCTTTAAGAATCCTTGCGCATCCACCAGTTATTCTACAATTTAAAATGAATTGACATTTATTAAACAGGTAATTTTATAAATTTCAATTCAACCTAAAGGAAGTAATGTGCCTTTAAAATTTAAATTGATTGAGTAACTTATGTACACGGCGCATACACCGATTTACTGGTAGTAGATTACGTAGCAATTACTAAGAGGGTTATTTTTAAGCCAAATAATTAATCGGTCGGATTCGCGCATTGTGTCGAGAGAAGAGAAAAAAAAACAACAAAGGTACGTAAAGACTCACTTTATTTTTAGCGATGTACCAGAAAATTGGCTGCTACGAACGAGACGATAATCCAATTTGCGTGTATACAGCGTTTTCTTGTTAGCATGAAACATTCAGGAATTAACGAGAGAATAATACGGACGATATTGTCAACCCCCGAGTTTTCCAGTAATCGACTACTACCACCTAACAACTCGACTTCCATCAACCCGCTTTCAAATTTAATTGAAAGACTAAAGTGCGAGAATATTATATAATATATTTAGGTTTAGACGAAGTGGGCCATCCCTTCCGAGATCAATAGCGAAATCTGTATACAGACGTATATTTTTTTACCCACTTGCATTTTCTTATTTAGCAAACTTTTAATTCCGTTTGCATAGCTAACATTTTCGCTCTTTTTATAACTCGCCTGAGTGTGCGAAAAGTTGTTTCGAATGCTGGCTGCATAATTATATTGCGCCTCGGTTTGAGCGATGTGCCCTATCTCAATCATCTGCCGAGTACTTGATTTCTTTTTTATTCCTCACTCCTCGATGTGAAGGTCCTTTTGTGATTACCACGACCAAAGGACATGTAAAGGGCATTTCGAGTTGTTTTTTTTTCGTAGAAGATTTAATGAGAATCTTGTATTTCATGATTGAATAAACATCGAATTAGAACTTTTATTTGTATAATTAATTTTGAAGTTAGAAAAAATTAATAATGGTAATTTTAATTAACAAACATCTAAGAAATTAATATTAAATGTTTGTATAACTGATTTACTTTAAAATGATTTCGTCTTTTCTTATAAATTATTTATCTTTGTTAATATTCAGATAAATTAATGTATAAATAACTAACTTAGAATTTACTAATAACAATTAATGGTCACATTTCCCACAGTATTTTGAGTAATTTCTGAATTTAATCGATTTATCTGTTGCATACAAAATAATTGGATTTTTTTTTGTTTTTAATTTATTTGTATAAAAACAATAAATCTATAGAAAATACACAGCACTAATTAAAATCATTTGTTATTTAATAATTTCACAACATGAAGGTAGCAACAAAAGGTATAATTGTTTTGGTAGGAAATGAGTTTTAACGAGATTTTAATTACGATGATTTAGAGTTTTTGAATTCATTCACGTTACGTAATTGGAGTAGAAACAAAGATCAATGGATGACTCTCATTAACGTCGATATTATTAACGTTCATTGAAAATATTGTGGGGCGTTTTCAACCCGTCCATTTGCATCTGCAATAATGAATAAGCTTTGCGTAATGGGATCTGAGTGGAGGATTGTTCATTTTATGGATCAACGTTTTCGCCGGAAAAGCGGTGTGTTTCATATGTGTGTATATATATATATATACCTCCCAGAAATGCATTAGCAATTAGGGAAATTGAAACGAAATCGTGTGTCATTGTTTGCGGCGTCCGTGGCCGAGCCAGCTCATCGACGTCGGTTCCTGGACAATCAACGTTCGAAAAAAGTAAATCCGCTATGATGGATGACGAAATAATATCAATTTCTTTTACTATTCCTTTTTTCACTATATATCGATTTTTTATTATTTATTTTGTTCAATTAAAATTTACTTAGGATTTACTATAGTCCGTTTTGAAAATTACATTAAACCGGACTATAGTAAATCCGCACTGATCGAAGCAGCGAGCTATTGCTATAGTATTGTATTAAGGTTTATTTCAAAATCGCATATGTAATGACCTAATAGTGACATGTCTTTTGGAAATTTAAGATTATGGTAATAGAACAGTTTATTAACTTTATATATATTTTTGTGTTGTTTAGAACTTCAATAATAAGAACAGTAGGAATTCGAATTGCCTGAAGATTAATCTGGATATGCATGCATTGGGGAAAGGTGAGCTTCGAAGAAAAAAAAACAAATATTGGGTATCGGAGTGATGCACGGAAAATTGAATATTTTGTAAACATTGCTTAAATTTGAATATATTTTGTTGCCTCGTTCCATTTATTTATTTTCTCCGTCTTCGAGCGCCTTTTATACCACCTGGGCACCATAAAGGCATTCGATTCTAGTAAAAAAAAAAATAAAAAATACACAACTCATGAAAATCAAGTGATTCTATAAACAGAACAAAGTCTTAATTTTGTAAATTACTTATTTATTGTTTAAAATCAGAAAATGAAAGATTCTTCAGTTAAATTATTGAAAATGATAAATATAAAATAAAATGTGTAATTATAAAAGATATAATGCAAATCTTACATTAATTTGTAGGAAATATAATACTAATTCATAAAATAAACTATATTTGATCTGATGCAACTTCTATTATGCATTTACAAAGAAATAATATATGTTACAGATGTTACTTTAGTTTCATTTTATTCTTTCTAATTGTATTTCAAAACAACTAATTACATTTTAAGTGAACTTCGAAACTATCAACTACATTTTATTGGTAAGTTGATATACCTGTCAAAATTATTTGAAGCAGTTCTAAAATTAAAACAATGGCATAATGAAAAGTAATAAAAATTGTAGATTGATAATAAGGAAATACAATACTTTACTTCAGTAGATACACTTTATTTGTGCTGATGCATTTACAACAACAAAAAATGCTCAAATCTATAACAATATTGATAATTTCTTTAATGTTACGTGTTTGATATTTAATCAATATCGAATGGAAACTTATTACGTGCATGTTTTCATTCGCAACCGAATGATTATTTTCAATTTAAACTTCGCATATGGCAATGGTGTTTTGTTCGGACTAATGCGGCTACGAAAGAGCAATTAAACGGCAAAAAAAATTCAGAGGATGCTCCAGAAGCTACGGTTATCATCATTAAATAATCATCATTCATGACATTTTACAACCGAGCACTTTTATAAATAAAGAAAACGCAATTATAATTGCATTGTTATAATGCGTCGCACAAATTTCCACCTCAGTGTTTTCCCAAGAATTACATTTATTTTATTTTCCATTTTTTTTTTAAGAATTTAAAAGAATAATCAATTCCTTTGAAAGGTGTGCAAGGTTTTTAATTATGAATTGTCTATTTATGATAACTTACAGTTATTTGTCTCAAGTGTTAAGAAATAAATTCTCGAAATACAGTACGCTACCTGCGTCGCTACCTCGATTAACGCTGATTTGTTATAACGCGGTTTGCTGGAAATCTCATATATTTCAGTTTATTTATTCGGATTGAGACATATTACAATGTTAATTATTTAAAGGTGCATGCCCCTGTAAGCCTTAGCTCTTTCGGCATTACGACGGTTAAAATTGTAAAATAAAAAGCGTTACATTTGGGTTAATTTTGTACTGCAAAAGATAGAAGAGGAGTTTAGGGTGCGATCGCATGCTACCAACAATTGATTAATGAAAAATATAGAAAGCGATTTTATCGCCAAAAAATCAATAATATCAGAAGA